GAAAGTCGCAGCTAAGTCGCTAGAAAGTAGCAAGAAAGTCGCAAGAAAGTAGCAAGAAAGTCGCAGCTAAGTCGCAAGAAAGTAGCAGCTAAGTCGCAAGTGGAAAAAAGAGAGAGGAAAGTGTATGTCCCTTTGAAGCCACCGTAATTTTGTCGAGTACAGCAAGGGTTTCTGTCGATTATTGTAGGATAGTACATGTATCCCTAGCTATATTGAGACAACTGAGGAGCTGAAGGAGTGATGGGCTAATGTTTAATTCTTTCATTTATTTTTGTTTTGTTTGATCAAAAATGCACCAAGTTTTGGGCAAAACATGAGACAAGGTTTCTTGAATGAACTGTTGACGACCATTTGTCAAACATGTGGGTTTTGTCAAAAAAAAAAAAAAAACAGCGAAAAGTGCTTAGAATTGTTTGTATGGTTTTCTTTTATATTGTTGGCCCTGAAAAACCTCATTGGAATTTGAGGAGTGGTCAATTAAGTCTTCATTGTCATCATCATCCACATCATTATTGCTCTTATTATTATCATCATTTCTATTATTGATTTTCCTACAGCCCAAACAAGAAGATGAAGATAAATTGTGTCAGCTTTTCCCCTCCAAGAAGGATAATGTGAGGGCAGCCTTGGAGGCTGTAGATGGTGACCTAGATAGAGCTGCCTGTTTCCTTGCAGAGGGTACGATTTTGGAATTTATTACAGTAATATTTTTTTGTGTTTGAGGGTTGAAAACTTATCCACATATATAACAACAAATTTTTTCCCAAGATGATGAGCAGATTGACAATGTGCTTTTGTTTGGCTTTTAGAGTCCTGTGATGTTGATGACAAGGATGACCTCTTGAACAAGTCTGTCTTTAAATCATTTAGTAACGAATGTAAGTAGCTACTTGTTTTTTTTTTAATTACTTGTTAAAGATAGATTGACTTAAGGCTGGAAAATTGGTTCAAATTGGTTCAAATTGATCACTGCTGCTTATTGGACAAATGGTCCCCTCCGTGACAATAACCACGAGCACTTACTGTTCCTGTACAATGTAAGAGAGGAGGAAGGCCTTTTCCATTTAAGGCAGTTTGGAGGAAAAGGTTATGGACGATTTTAAGATATGTACATGAAGGAGTGAGTTAAACCAAAATCCAACAAGTTAAACTACTGTTGCGTTTTGATCGTGCCAAAATATCCTTGATCAGAGTAATTGCTTTCGCATGTTTGTACTAGCTTTATTTCAGTACAGGTGAATTCTGTGACCTAAAATCTAGTTCCTGTTGGTGTCAATTTTGATGGATTTTAACGTTATTATTTCGTAATTAACGTAGATGAAAACAAGTATCAAGATCAATACATTTGCCGGCTGTTGTTTATGGGTACCCTGACCCAACTTCTTCCTCACCTGCTCGTCGAAGTTCTTATCATGTAGCCAAAGACTGTTACTGTTTGTCAAGAAAACTTGAGAGAAATGTAGCGATAAAGTTAATTAACACAATGGCACCTTTTTGTTTACATTGTTCTACAGACATTTTCTAAAAGAAATAATACTTCTAAATAAATACCAACGCCATAACAATCTGAATCATGCAGTGGGTCAATAGTCACTTGAAGCTGTTGTTGAAAATTCTGGCCATGGTTAATCACAGTGGGTAGAACATCAACATATTCATCATGATCCTCTAATGGCACAGGCCCATCAACATCAATGCCATACTCATCACCTATAACCTGAAATACAATGGAACAATAAATGGCATTTTACATGTAGTTGAAGGAACAAAAGCAAGATAAACTGGGGTCCCATTACTCAAAACTCTCAACACCTAACAGCATCAAACACAGGTCTTTTTGCATTCTTTTAGTTTAATAATAAATTATAATCAGGCTTTCAAAACCAATAACAAAATTGAACATCTTTTGATAAACATCTCTACATTTTACGCAACAATTAATTATCAAGACTTTCATGAATCGGCCCTTTGTTCATAGCCAACTACCATACCTGAGGATCTCGGAATTCCTGCCCTATTGTGTGATGAGAATTTGCCATTCACAACCTACCACAAACCCAAAGCTGCTCTGGAGAAGAGTTTCCTTCGGTGCTTATGGGAGCTCTGGTGTGTGCTTCTTGGAAGGCTCTTAGATTCCTGTTTATCCTTGGCAGGAAGACATAATGCAATGCAAACAAATGCACTTCATTGCAAGGATCAAGAATACCACACCTCTCCATGTGATGTAAAAGGAGGTAAAATAGAAATGTACAACCCATAAACAAATCCCGCCATAACCTCTCAATGCGTTGGTTGTGGACACTGCGGCCTGCTGTATAGCTTCCCCTGTCGGGCCCACGCAACGGATGATTTAACATGTACCAAGCTACCTCAACATTTTCACCACCCTTATCAGATCGCACACGGGGGGGGAAGACCAAAAGTTTCTACAGCAGACTGGAAAAGCTGCGGAACAGTCAAAGACTTTTTGTTTGTTGAACAATGTAGAAACATTATCATGTGAGAAAATCCATCAATCCCAGCATGGATTACAAACTTCCACCTATTAAAAAAAATTGATAATAAATCAAACATTCTAAATAAAGAATCGTGTGGAAAACATGCAGAAATATTCTTTTCTGACTACTGGCATATGAAACGTCCTTCCCTCAGCACAAGCCAAAGAAATGGTATAGTACTTAGGAATGTTACGCAAGGAAACAACTTTTTCCTACTTTTTAGACTATGATGGTTATTTCATATTTATAGCATATTTCCTTAAATCATTAACCAAATCATTTGTGGGTGAACCATTAGTTACGAACATGAGCAAAATACAAAAACAGGCCTATACCATATGTGGAATCCTCAGGATTTAATAAATTTAGCACCACTGAAAACAAATTGTTAATACTGGTGCAGTGTTCAACCAGTTCAGCTATCAAGCCAAATGGGAGCTGGGGTCACTTTGTCCACTGACATAATGCTAGAATATATTTTTCTTCGGGTACATAAGGTTTCTTCAAATGGAAAACAATATATGCATGCTACACTTTACCACATTACTGGACTGTTTGCATGAAAGGAGAATGATTATTGCACTAGGATTTCACTAATATGTGGTTCATCCTCTCCACTGGTTGACATGCATGCTAAATTGCCTTGTCTCAACTTGGATGGTACTTGCAGTAAGGTCAAGTACGCACTTTTGCATAAAAACTGAAAGCAGAAAATGGGAGACAATTTTATCGCTGTTGTTAAGTTCTGAGATCTTTCAGAACTGTGGTTTCTGATCAATATATCAGGGCTTATAATCTCTCTTGAGTAGACTGTCAAAAACGAAAATAATGATTCGCTACTGTTGTTATTGTCTATTTAATAATCACCCCGATGCATAATTTGCGATCCTGGTGCAATGATCATTCTTGTCATGCAAACCGACTCTAATCAGTCCACATTCCACACCTAATGAGCTTGTGGTTGCCGTCAACATGCCAAAGGGCAAGAGGTCCTGCAACCTGGTAACTCCGCCGTGGAATGACATGAATTCCCAGAGCTCTCAAAAGAGTTCCTTCAGGATTTGTTCTCCTCATTGCTGCTCGAATGCGACTTTGGACTTGGAACTTGGAACTTGTACTCCCTATTTGGATAATAAGCCATCTTGCCCTTAAAAACCCAGTCATCCGCTTGTAGCCCGTCTGAGGGAAATCGGTGAGTACACTCTTGATAACTGTATCCAAATCTTGGTCGCTTAGATTACTGTAAGAAGTACTGATATTCAGGTTATGTTCACGTAAACGTCTCTCAATTGTTCGTGAACTAATCCCCAGAAGGGAAGCTATTTGTGTGGTGTTGAATCGACGTTCTATGAGAAATTGTAATTGTTCTTGAGGAACATTTAACTTTGGCCGTCCAGGCTGACAAGTAAAAATACAACCTGCCTGAAATGCACCTCTACTATGGTCAGCGTTGGTAACCACTTCTCTCGCTTCGCAAACGAGGTCGATTACGCGTGCGTTTATCGCTCCTCTACCTTCAGTGTCCAAGTATCTCGCAAGCACATTTAAGACCCAATCTAATCGGAAAATTGCATAATCTAAGGTATCGCAGTCGTGGTTACCACTCTCTAAAAATCTTACTACATCATTGAGGTGAAGACCGAGACATTCCCCAACTTCGCACGCGGAGGCCATGTTTTATGCTGAAAAAAAAAGGAATAAGTCACTTTGTGACGTAGCTCAAGTCACAGAGAAATCCAGAATAATAGTGACCNGCGCTCTTTTTCAAATTCACCAGAAAACAATATTCTGATGTCTTAGTTTCTTTAGTGGAGTATATTTGGGCAATGGGAGGCAATGCAGATATTGCATCTCATTTATCGGAAATTTTCGATGTACGTTTATCCAGCAAGTCCAGCTACGTTTACCAATCTTAAAATATCCTGTATTAGTATATACTAAAACAGTGGATAGCGTTCAAGGCGCGCTCTGATTGGCTAGAAAAAACTCCGAATATCCTTTGCTATTTACCTCCGAGCAACTGCGTCCCGGTTTGCATCCGTGACAAGCGAAGAAATCACTCAAATTAACGACGGTGGTGTATATTATCTAACTGTTTTAGTATATACTAAAACAACTATTCACCTCAGTGTCGGTGGTTAGCGTTGGATATTTACCTCGCCGCTTCGCAGCTCGGTATATTCCACCACTAACCGCCTCTACTTTGGTGAATAGATGTTAATTACATAACAGTCATCTCTGAAAAGAAGTTGTGGCTACCGCTAGTTTATTCTAGATTCCAAAAGCTTTTGCGTGAGTCTGTTTCTCATCAGAAATCTTGAAGTCCAAGCTGCAAACAACAACAACAACAACAAGTTTATTTGGTAAGGCAGGTTATTGAAATAGGCAAGACAAGAAGTCCTGATGTGGACCTGCACACTAAATTAACATTATAATCACAATTTGGACAGGAAATCTATAGATACAAGGATACAAAGTGTATAAAAGTACTGTGAAAAAAATACTTTGACACTAACAGCATAACTTGTGCCTATCAATTCTTTACTGACTGAACACTCTCTCAAGAAGCCTATTTAAAAGTTTTTGAAAGTCAAATTAGAGTAGTTCTGCAGTAAATTCTACTGACAACAATCATTCACTTGACTCTGATGATGACTTCCGCACAGGTTGTCGAAACGTCAGTCACTACCACCGACAACAGTCCTTCTCAGGACTACACTCACCTGGACGATCAGACTACACCTTCACATAGAGTAGTTCTATTATAACCGGAAGACTTGACTTAAATAGAAGTGGAATGTTCAGCTTCCATTTTTAAAGGTTTATTTTACTGCAGGTCTCGCATTTCCATGACTTGTTAGATTCTGCAGCCCAGGGTGGTATGTTAACACACTTAAGGTGCCACCAGTCATTGCAGCAGTGACATTGTACATAGGGGTCACCAGTAGGAGGAGTAGGGGAGGAGGTATGATTGATCTGGCACGCGGCAGAAAATTCAGTGGTAAACAATAAATACAATAGAGTGATTATGTCTTGGAACTATCGGTCTGATAGTTGTCCCTTGGAAATTTGATGTTCTTAAATCCGGCATATTTGTTTTAATAACATCAAATTTCTGCGGGGCAACTATCAGCCGATAGTTCCTCGACAGAAACTCTATTTTTTAAATATCCTCCAACCAGACCATAGAAGAGGTAGAGAACAGAACTTTGACATACCAGACCCTCTACAGAATGAAGCAATTTCCAAAGTAGCACTTTGAGGAGTTCCACTCTGCTCTGAATTTTCTACTTGAGGAGATGTATTGATATGTCAACTCCAGTTCTTGTCCTTTTTTAACTTTTTTACTCTTAGTACCACAAAATAAGTGTTTTAAATTATTTTTAAATATTCCTTTTTGGATTTTAGTGTTCCTTGCACAAGTACAACTTACAACCAATGACATATGAATTAGA